GGAAAGAAGGAGAGGAGAGGAGAGGAGAGGAGAGGAGAGGAGAGGAGAGGAGAGGAGAGGAGAGGAGAGGAGAGGAGAGGAGAGAAAGATAGGGAAGGAAAGGAAAGGAAAAGAGGAAAGGAGGAACAAAGGAAAGGAAAGGAAAGGAAAAGATGAAAGGAGGAGAGAAGGAAAGGAGAGGAGAGGAGAGAAGAGGAAGATAGGGAAGGGAAGGAAAAGAGGAAAGAAAAGGAAAGGGGGAAAGAAGGAAAGGAAAGGAAAAGAGGAAAGGAGGAAAAAAGGAAAGGAAAGGAAAGGAAAGGAAAGGAAAGGAAAGGAAAGGAAATAGAAAGATAGACAGATAGACAGAAAGAAAGATAGAAAGGGAGGGAGGGAGGAAAGATAGAAAGATAGACAGAAAGAAAGATAGAAAGGAAGGAAGGAGGGAGGGAGGGAGGAAGGTGGGAGGAAAGATAGAAGATAGACAGATAGAAAAAAGGAAGAAAGGAAGTAGGGAGGAGGGAAAGAGAAGAAAGAAAGAATAAGAAAGATAAGAGAAAAAGAAAAAGAAGAAAGAAAGGAAAGAAAGAAAAGGAAAGAAAGAAAGAAAGAAAGAAAGGAAGGAAGGAAGGAAAAGGAAAGGAAAGGAAAGGAAAGGAAAAGGGATGAAAACCACCCGGAAAGTGGATCCTCCACTCGATCAGAAGAATCCCAAAACAGCCCAAACGGTTTTCATTTCTTGGCGGACCTGGGCATTTTTCATCCGAGAAGTCTGCCGAATTCCTCCACGAGGAGTTTCGCCTGCTTAGTTCGTTCTAAGAGACGGAGGGCGGGAGGGAGGAAGGAAGCGAAGGCCACGTATTAGAGCAGCTTTAGGGTTGTGTTTGAAAAGCGCAACAAAATTTCACGGCGTCTGGGAAGAGAAAGTGGGTCGCGGAAGGTCAAACGAGATTAAGAAGATGGGGGGGGGGAATCACCAGTTTGGAATAAACCATCATGCAATTCCCAAGGAGGCCGCTAGATGCCGCCCTTTGTTCACCCCACTCTTTGCCTTACGGCGCTTTGCAGTCAAAAGAAAATATTTTTTTTCCAAAATTTCTGAAATTTCACTCCGAAGCCCAGTCCTCGGCCTTTTTAAAGCCGCTCTTTAGAGCAACAGGCCCTGAACAAAAAAAATAAGCATAGCGGCCTAGGGAATATTTAACAGGTTCTGCCCGGTTTCCTCGGGATTTTTATTTTGTTTTGTTTTTTGTTAAACAACACGTTTTAATTAAACAGAAAACCCAGCTTCATTGTTAAGACACAGGGTGGGGATGAGGTTTGTGAGTGCATGAACATTTCCCTGTAGGGCAGTGGGTCTCAACCTTCCTTATGCTGCGACCCTTTAATACAGTTCCTCATGTTGTGGTGACCCCCAACAATAAAATTATTCCTAAAACCATTGAAAATATTTGTTTTCCGATGGTCTTAGGCGACCCCCTGTGAAAGGGTCATTCGACCCCCAAAGGGGTCCCGACCCACAGGTTGAGAACCACTGCTGTAGGGAATTTCTTTTTGGGGTAGTGAGGACACTGAATTGCACAAATATATATATATAAGGAAGAATGAGTGCCCAGGTTTGGTGTGCTTGATATTATCCTCCGGTTTCTTGAAAGCAAAAAGGAGAGTCCTTGAGACAAAATGCAGACAACAAATAAGACACACACACACACACACACACACACACACACACACACACACAATCTTAGCATGTCTAGATGAAGGGCCAACTTTTTACACAAAACCTGAGAACAAAATTCCAGCTGTTTTCAAGCGCTCAAGCTGCAAAGTGTTGAGTGATTAGAATAGAATAGAAATAGAAATAGAAATAGAACAGAAAGAAGGGAAGGGAAGGGAGGAGAGGAGAGGAGAGGAGAGGAGAGGAGAGAGAGAGGAGAAGAGAAGAGAAGAGAAGAGAAGAGAAGAGAAGAGAAGAGAAGAGAAGAGAAGAGAAGAGAAGAGAGAAGAGAGAGAAGAGAAGAGAAGAGAAGAGAATTTTTATTGGCCAAGTGTGATTGGACACCCAAGGAATTTGTCTTTGGTGCATATGTTCTCAGTGTACATAAGGAGAATAAAATACATTCATCAAGAGTAAAAAGATCCAACACTTACTGA